TGTACGTAACCCGGGGACTGCCTGTATAAGGGCTTCTTGCGTAAGAAATTCATGTTGCCTGTCTACACTACCCTCTTGTGGAAGAGCTCTTGCGCAAGAGGGCTTATTCTTTGTGGGGAGAGGAATAACTCTTCTGGAAGAAGCCCTGCTTTACAATGCTATACTGTAAATTTAGTTGTGTAAGAATGCTCATGCAGTGTAGACAGCAGGCAAGTTTTTGCACAAGAACAGTTGTTTTTGCACAAGAAGCTGCCAGTGTAGACATAGCCCAATAGTATCATCAGAAAGTAGAAGGTGAAAAGAGAATTTATTATTAAAAGAGGAATAACTCTTCTGGAAGAAGCCCTGCTTTACAATGCTATACTGTAAATTTAGTTGTGTAAGAATGCTCATGCAGTGTAGACAGCAGGCAAGTTTTTGCACAAGAACAGTTGTTTTTGCACAAGAAGCTGCCAGTGTAGACATAGCCCAATAGTATCATCAGAAAGTAGAAGGTGAAAAGAGAATTTATTATTAAAAGTGTCTTCATCCCTGCTCATTTGACCTGCTCAGTTGGTCCAAATAACATCTCTAGATTCTGGCTTGCAGCTCTTAATTGTACAGAAGCTAAAGATGGGCAACTAGTATAATTGTTCTCAACTGGAAAATACTGTCTTACACAATCATGTTTGCTATGCTTACCTTACACACAAAAAAATGACCTGTGGAATCCATTTTGAATTTTTGTTTGTTGTAGGAGTACTGAACACACCGGTGCCTCTACTGAGTTATCAGGGAAATGCTACAGAGTCAGCTTTAATGTTTTTGTGTGAGAATGGGAATCTTGAAAGACCCAGGTATGTATATTAAGTTCCTGAAAATGAATAGGAAGGTGTCTATGCGAAGTCATAGTAAAAGAAACAGCTCTGTTCACAGAAGATATGATTGCAAGCAAATTCTTGAAGCATGAACTATCTGCCAATCAAATTATTTTGCTTCTTTGTAAAATTACTTTGCTTTTATAAAATATATATTAAGTAAATATTACAGTAGCAATTGAAGATCTGAAATTAAAGGTTAATTAACAAAAGAGAATTCTAGATCAAGCACTTCCACTCTGCTGTGGTATTGCAGTGCATGTGAAATACATGATTCCACATTATCCTGAGACCTCTGCAATCCCAAGGTGCAACAGGGAATGGGAAAGAAAGTACATTAATAGTACTTTCCATTGATATTGCAACTTTCAGATGAAAATCTCAAAGATCTCTACATTCAGTAACTTACACTACAGCTGTGAAATACTGTATATTATTATACCCATCTTATCAATGAGAATAGTAAGCTACAGAGAGATTAAATATCTTTCCAAAGACCACACAAAATCCAGTGACAGAATCAGGAACACCATCCTAAAATCCAGGACAGTAGTCTACTTTCATCCATGCTCTAATCTTTGATAATCCACTTTATTCTAGCATGCAAAATGCTACTATCGCTTTTAAATGTCTGAAAAAGATCCTCGTTATATTTAGACACCCTCATCCAAAAATTTTAAATTGTCCATATGATTCTGAAAACTCATTCATACTATGCAAGTGAACTCTGATGTGTACAAAATCCTTGAATTGAACATGCATATATTTAGGTTTGTATACATGCCTTGCTGTTTACACTAAAATATACATGTATTGAATATCTGGCCAGCAACTTACATTTCCTTTTAATGAACTTACTGTTTTATTTTCTTGAACCAATATGGCTGTGTCTAGACTGGCCAGTTTTTCCGGAGAATCAGCTGCTTTTCCGGAAAAACTTGCCAGCTGTCTACACTGGCTGCTTGAATTACCGCAAAAGCACTGACTTCCTACTGTAAGAAATCAGTGCTTCTTGTGGAAATACTATTCTGCTCCCGTTCAGGCAAAAGTCTCTTTTGCACAAAGCTTTTGCGCAAAAGGGCCAGTGTAGACAGCTCAGATTTGTTTTCCGCAAAAAAGCCCCGATCGCGAAAAGTGCTTTTGCGGAAAATCATGCCAATCTAGACACAGCCATATATGTGTAGAGTTGTAAAATAAATTCTAGGGGCAGATACGTCCATATACAATTAGCAGCCAATTCTCTTTAATAACTTTTCATCTAAATATATGCATCTTCAGTTTATTCAATTTCAATGTATTTCTTTAGGTTAATTAAAAACTGTAGTTTCTATAACATCCTGTTTTCATTTCTCATACACTAGACTCAAGAGTCACACATAATTCAGCTACAGCTGATTTGTACCTCAATAGAGACCATAATCCTAGGAGGCTAAACTGAATATTTTTTTATGTTGGAAATTCAATTGTACAAGGACAACTAGGATCACAGCATGTATTAGTCCATATCATAAAACCACTAAGTAACATAACACAACTGGTAGCTTCTTATAGAAGTGTTGCACATTAAAGAGGTATGTTGGCAGAGCTGGGGTGGATTCCAACAGGGACTGCCTAAAAGAGAGCCTTCTTGCACTCTTACCATCCACATTTACAAGCACCAAATTTGTCAGAAATCTTAAACAAAAGAAACCAAATAAATGAGAAATGTTCAAGCAGTGCAGTGCTTTATATAGGAGATTATGAACAATAAACTGCACTTTTATAGTACCTTCCCTCAGAGGATATTAAACTGACTTGCAAACTCTAACGATTTAAAAGCAATAGCCCTGTGTCAGATGCTACCTACTTTTAAAATGAGGCACAGAGAGGATTAGGCCCAGATTCTCAAAGGTATTTAGGTGCCTAACTCTTGTTGAAATCAGAAGTGATTCAACCATTGCTTTACTGGGGAGAGGATTTCAACTCTCTCTCCATTTGTTGCTGGCAGTTTAAAGGGGCTGCATTAAAGCTACCATGGAAACAAACCAAATATGTAAAACAAAATGTAGAGGGCTGAATTCAAGAGTGAGACAAACCATGCTGTAAATTGCATGTTGGGTGTAAAATGGTGGGGAAATAGATGTACAGGATATGGTCCAGTTTAGCATCGGAGACTTTGCAAAATGAGTGTCATGTGCACCTAAAGAGATAGAAGCAAAGTGTATGGCAGGAAAAGCAACTGACAGAAAAATGTAAGAGCTAAATTTCACAATCACATTTCCCCCATTAACTAATTTATTACCTTGTCTTTGACTAGATTTGATCACCTCATAGCAATAGAACGTGCAGGAATGGCTGCTGATGGCAATTATTATAATGCAAGGAAAGTCAATCTTAAGCATCTAGTGGATCCCATAGATGAACTGTTCCTAACTGCACGTACCATCCCTGGAATCACAACAACAGGTAAGCATGAGTCCATGGCATCTCCTCAGTGATAAAGAGAAAAACAAAACGCAGAAATGCTTATAAGCTGGAAAGGAGGATAAATTAGTAAGCAACTTCCAAAAGATGACTTTAGGTCTGCCGCTGTTTGTCTCTGCCAAATTCGAAGGACCAGCTAGCAGAAAAACACGCTGGAAAAGGTGTAGAAAAATCACAGAAATGTAGAGCTGGAAGGAACCTCAACAGGTCATCCAGTCCAGCCCCTTGCACTGGGGCAGGACCAGTATGCCTAGACCAATATACCCTGAGAGCTGTTCGTCGATCTTGTTCTTAAAAGCCTCTCAAAGGGAAGATTCCACATACCCTCTTGGAAGCCAATTCTATTGCTTAACTATCCTTAAAGTTAAAAAGTTTCTCTTAATATCTAACCTAAATCTCTCTTCTAGCAGTTTATACCGATTATCTCTTGTCCTGCTTTAGTGAATATGGACAACAATTGATCACAGTCCTCTGTATAACAGCCCTTAACATATTTGACAAATAGTTCCTCCTCCCACTCTTCTAAGAATAAATTGTCTGCTGTAGGCATTAGCTTCTCCTCAGGAAGAATGGCTCTTGTGCAAAAGGGGGTTTGTGCGCAAAAAGGAGCCATCTACACAGCACTTTTTTGTGCAAAAACCTTTTGCACAAAAGGGAACCAAGGAGGAAATGCAAATGAGAGTGCGACATATGCAAATGAGCACCCATTTGCATTTCCTCTTGCGGAAGAGGATCGTAGTGTAGACGCAGCCTGAGACAGGATTTGCCAATCTCCTTCCAGATACTCTCTTCCAGCCTACAATTAGACCTCCTCAATGGGAACTGCCATGAGAATGTGTCCAGGTCAGTGGAGTCCAGCCCCATATCAGTGGCTGTAATGAACAGGGGCAGTGCTGACCAACACCCAGTGACTAAGGGGTTAAACTCAGGTAGCTAACAAAGGTGGTGGCCAGGGGGCTGAGAGAACCAATCTAGATAGTGGGATGAAATTTGAATTGGATATAGCTTCCTTGCCTACTTTATTTCTGTGCGAGAGAAAACCCAGGAGATGGGAGACACAGAATGATTTAAATCCAGGCAGGACTACCATGCCTCCAAGGAATTTGGAGTAGACAGAGCATGGTAGTGTACTGAACAAACAGGAAAGTGGAAGTAAGTAAAAGGGAAAAAAAGTGGATCTAGTCGTGTTCGGGGTATTGTCTCTTTATTTTGTGGTTTGGTTTGAACTGCTCTGTATGAATCTATGCCTCCCCTCTCCCTTTACCATATAGACTTTGTTTCCAGAGACTGCCACATCAGGGTCAGGGACGTGGACATGCCTGTCTGCCTGGTGGGGGATGCAGCCTATCCGATACAACCCTGGTTCATAAAGCCCTACACGGGACACCTCAACCCTTCCTGGTAGGCCTTTAATGCCAGGCTCAGCAGAGCCCGCATTGTGGTGGAGGGGGGCCTTCGGCTGGCTGAAGGCCCGATTTAGATGCCTCCTCACCCGCCTCGACCTCTCTGAGGAATATTCCGTCCGTGGTGGTGGCGTGCTGTGTGCTGCACAATTTGTGAAAGCAAAAGACTTTCCTGCCAGGCTGGATGGCAGAGACCGACCACTTGGCTGGCCTGTATGCACAGCCCCACACGGCTGGCCTGTGCCATCCAGGAGGCCTAGCGGGGGGCTGTCCATATCCAGGAGGCCCTGCGGGAAAGCTTCCACATGGAACAGAACTGAAGTCTCCCTGGCGTGCCCCACTGTGGCCTTGTGCCTTATTCCACCCTCACATCCTTCCACTTACCCCTCCCTAATCCCCCTTCCTGGTGTCAAATAAAATAAAGGCTCGCACATGCGCAGGTTGCTGCGTGATCTGGGGTAAGCAAGGCCCATGCGCACAGTCCCTGGGCTCTCCTCCCTCCCCCCCTGGGAAGGGGACAGTGATGGCACTTACACGGTGTGGCCTCCCCGGATGACCCTGGTGACTCCGCTGCTGGGACAGCTTGGGGGATGTCCGGCCGGCATGGTGCCCTCTGTGACAGCTCCTCCTCTGAGATCTGATCAAGGCCCTCTGCTCCCGGCTTGCTGCCCCCAGGGCTGGCATGGACCATCCTGTCCCTTCAGGAGGCGGACCGGGGCCTTGAAATAGGGGCAGGTGTGTACCCCTGTTGGGGAGCTGTCCTGTATGGCCCTGGCATATCCCTGCCACAATTCTTTAATTTTCATGCACACTTATTCTTGGGTGTGCATGTGGCCTTTTGTGGCCATGGTGCCAGCTATGCGGCTGTAGACGGCGGCGTTACTCTGTCTAGCGCAGAGATCATGGACTTTGGAGCCCCCCCCCCAACCTCAATGAGGTCCATGATCTCCACACTAGTCTAGGATGACACCCGCCTTCTCCGGCTCCTGGGAGCTGGGGGACTGGGTGGTGGAGGGCTGTCTGGATCTGGCTCCCTGGCTCATATTGGGGCCACTGGGTCAGGGTCAGTGACTGCTGGCTCTGTGCTTGCAGGCCTGTAGCTGGCACAGGCACTGTGGCCAGAGTCTAACCCTTTAAAGGGTCCGGAGTTTTCCTGGTTTGGCCCAGAGTAGCCACCAGGGTTCCCTGGGAAGTGCTGGAGGTCCCCTATTTCGAAATAAGCATCTATACAGCACTTATTTTGAATTAGCTATTTCAAATTTGGCGTTATTCCTCATAGAATGAGGATTAACTAATTCGAATTAAGTGCCCCGCTATTTCGATTTTATTTCAAAACAGCGGTTTGCCTGTATAGACGCTATTAAAGCTAATTTGAAATAACGGCTGGTATTTTAAATTAACTTAGCTGTGTAGACATACCCTAACTCTTCTTACAGTTAGGACATTTTTCCTGAGATTTAATCTAAATCTGCTATGCTGTTGTTTTTTTGCAACAGCATCATATTTTTTACTCATTTTGAGAATGTAACCCAACACAATTCCCAGATCATTCTTAGTGTTGTTGCTGCCAGCCAGTGTTCCTCTATTCTGTATTTGTACATTTGGTTTTTCTTCAAGTGTAGCACCTTCACTTGTCTTTGTTGAATTTCATTTTGTTATTTATAGCCCAGTTCTCTAATTTATCAAGATTCCTTTCAGTTTTAGATCTATTTCCGAAGTGTTGGCAACCACCTTTAGCTTTGTGTCACCTGCAGATTTGATTAGTAGGATCCCTATACTTATATCCACATGATAAAAAAGATGTTAAATAACGCTGGCCGCAGATCATATCCCTGTGAAACTCCACTTGAGGACTTCTTCTGTTAATAGCTACTCTTTATTTGCAGTTGTTTAATCAAATTACATATCCATTTAATTTTGTGAATTTACCAATATTCATATAGTGTACTTATTTATCTGGTATCTTGCTTTCCAGATCCCAGGCTATCAGCCAAATTTTTCAGTAGGTCCTCAAATTTGTGGTGCCCTGCTCAAGACATTTAGTACAGCCAACATTTATTCAGACATTTATTGGTCCTTATACTTCCCATTATCTTTAATGGTACTATAGATGCTTAGTATATCTGAAAATGAGATGCAAAGTGTTTCAAGTAGTACACCCAAAAACAGAGTCTCCAAATCAATGACCACTTTTTAAAAGACTAGGGCTGTCTTTCTAAGAGGTAAACTGATGTGAAAAATGAGAGTAGTAAGAGTATAATTACGGCTCTCACTACTCCATTGCACAGGAGGCCCAGATGCTTCTGGAAACACTCTTAAGTTTTGGGGCAAGAACTTATGTTACTTCCATAGGCATCACATACCTTTTGCATATATTTGTGCAAAAATGTGTTACTTTCTACTTGTTTTATTTTCTTAAAACTAGCAACAGGCCAATGTTTGCCCCTTTTGCTTTATTTAAATATTTCACATGTTGTATACACAAAAATATATTACATTTGTCTAAGTCCTTCCATGAAGTGTAATATTACTACTTCTCTCCCCTAGACTTAGGATCAGAGCTGTACAAGAGCACTGGATAATGACACCTTCTTGTTACTGTTGCTTACAGCAAATAATTTCTAGTTACTATGCATATCTGAATGTTTTGTAATTTGATACATCATAATGTTTTCTGCTTTTGTTTTGTGACATTTGAAATCAGTTCTCTTTATACAGACTCTTATGAAAAGCACTGGATAGCTTATATATGGGCTTGTATATGCAAGGTGGTTTGGATACTCATGACATCTTTTCTCTTCTTTAATGAAGGCATTGGAGATGGAGGAAATGAACTGGGAATGGGAAAAGTAAAAGAAGCTGTAAGGAAGTACATAAAAAATGGAGATGTTATAGCTTGTGATGTTGAAGCTGATTTTGCTATTGTTGCTGGTAAGTTAAAAAAGGTGAAAACAAAGTACATGTGTTGAAGATTAATTTTGGTTTGGCACTTTGCTCAGTAGGTCATTCAGAGATTCAGGTACTGTAAGCTTTCTCTGTTTTGTGTCTAATCCTACAGGGTGTTGAGCATTCATATCTTTCCTTGGTATAACTGAAAATGCTCAGCACATCATAGGACTGACCTTCTCATAAGTTCCTGCAAAATGAAAAGATCACTTGATTCTAGAGTTCCATTTGTGAGTTACTTTGGAACCTTTTTAACTTTTAGAATTTGGTTAACTGCATTTAGAAACTGTATTCAATAATTAAATGTGTTGTGTTCAAAAGCATTCAGCCTATCTCTGTTCCCGTTGAAGTCAGCTCTCAATAGCTCTGCTTACATTAAAATCAATGTTGCTCCAATGGGAACAGAACTAGGCCAACAATGACTACTTATGAAAATTCCCACCCTAAATAAATATTAAAATCATTTTACTCTGAAGGAGAACCATACAGCCTTCATCTATGCAGGAATTAAATTAACTTTGTATTCATGAATGTTTTTAGGGTATGTGGTACCATACTAGGATAAAATCCATTGCACTATGATCAATATGGGATAATGAGAACTCTGTCAAATAATCTCTGCAGGCTTCTATACATTCTAAGTTTTGCATGTATAAAACCACAAATACAACTTCATAGTTGGAAGCCTTCCCTATACTATTGGGTAGCATGAAACAGGCATTAAAGAAATTAATAGAGAAGATGATCAAATCAGCAATGACAGCGTCACAAACTGTGTGGTTTCAGTTGTGCTGTAGTTTAGTGCATAATGAGAGGTCACTTTAATAGAAGGGAGAAGTGAAGCTAGATTTTCAACACCAATGGTACAAAAATGGGAAGTTGTTGTGGGGAAATTGGGATTGAAGAATCTGATTGTTTCTGCTATGTGTAAGTCCTAAAGATGCGGTTCTAGGAACTGCAGCATTTATGCTCAGAGCAGCTGACTAACCCAAGACATAGCAGAGGAAAGAAAGGAATGTGTCTTGAGCAGGAAGGTCAAATGAAGAATGTAACTAAAATTCATTTCCAAATTTTCTAAAAATGGAAGTGTGGAAAATGTGAGTGTTCCCTACTTCTGAAAACAGATCTAGATACAGTAGTTGTGCAGGCGAAGGACAGTAGTCATGCTAATGGAGTTTCTGGATTAGTAATGACAAAATATGAACTCTGCTGAGAGAAATGCACATTTGCAGACACAGTATTAGAATGTGATTGAGTGTTTTCAAAGAAGTTGCCAAACATTACTTCAGATAATAAAGTTTAAACTATTCTCAGTGTACAAATAATTTATGGATATTAATTTTGTGGGGATAAACACAATCCCACAAATTCCTAAAATAATAGATTTCATCAGTAGTCAGACAATAATTTGATGCTTTCATCATGGCTTCTTCTCTAATAAAATGGCTGAATTCTTTACTCAGACTGTGCTCTTTGTGAGCCAAAGAAATAAACTAGGAATGTTACAAAACTTTCATTATAAAATCTGACACCATGCAAAACTCATCTGGTTTTGGAAAAGCCGGTTACTTAACTCTGGCTAAGTCTCAAAAGTTGTCAAGTCTTGGATCATTTAAAGCCACAAAGACTCCATTGCTTTGAATTTTTGCATTTGTTTGAACTGCAGCCCCCTAACTTACACTAGTGGCTATAATCCTGCACTTATTAGATCTGAAATAAAAGTTCATACAAACAGGTAACAAACCTTGATCAACTCTAAATTAGACATAGATACAGCATACAACAAAGTTGGGAACCTTGCTATTACAGAAGATACCCAAATGTGAATGTGAATGACAAGATTTGTTTCCACAAAATGAGATGAAACATTATTTAGGAGTAAAAGTACAGGCTTGGGAGTTGACTCTTGAACTCTATTCCTGGCTTGCTCATTTTTTATTAGATAACTAATATTACCCTAAATATGAATATGTCCTTTGAAGGACTGTTTTTAGAGGAATGTCAATAAGTTGTATGATGCATCTCATGCAACACAGGTAAGCTAATAATAGCTTGGAAGAAAATTGTTGGTTCTATAATATTTCCCACAAGATGTTTTCTGGTAACATGTTTCTGCACGGATAAAAAAATAAATAATTGTACACCATAATAAAAATAGACTCTCTGTGGAATGGTTATTGAAACAGCACACTGCTGTTCTTATAAACAATTTCAATCAAAAACAGTAATTAGGAAAATCTTGCTAATAAAACCCATCAAATTGTGTATTTTAACACTGGTTCATAAATTCTCATCGGCTACATCTAGACTGGCATGATTTTCCGCAAATGCTTTTAACGGAAAAGTTTTTCCGTTAAAAGAATTTGCAGAAAAGAGCGTCTAGATTGGCACAGATGCTTTTCTGCAAAACACTTTTTGCGGAAAAGCATCCGTGCCAATCTAGACATGGTTTTACGCAAGAAAGCCCCAATCGCCATTTTTGCCATTGGGGCTTTTTTGCGCAAAACAATACCACGTTGTCTACACTGGCCCTCTTGCGCAAAAGCATTTGCGCAAGAGGGCTTTTGCCCGAACGGGAGCAGCATAGTATTTCCACAAGAACACTGACAATCTTACATGAGAGCTTCAGTGTTCTTGCGGAAATTCAAGTGGCCAGTGTAGACAGCTGGCAAGTTTTTCCACAAAAGCAGTTGCTTTTGCGGAAAACTTGCCAGTCTAGATGCAGCCCCTATGGCTAACTTTGTCACTGACAATCAGTGTTCCCCTCTAATTTTTTCCACCCCTGAGTGGAATTCATTTTTTTATGTGCACCAGTGTGGAGGTGATGTGCAACACACCACCTTCACATTGGTGCATGTAACTAAATAGATATGGCGGGGGTGGGGCAAAGTGGTGCTGAGTGTGGGAGGGGTCTCTGACCTGGGGCAGATGTTTAAGGACTCCAGTGGGGGGTGGGGTTGGGAATGGGGGCTCAGAACTGGAACAGAGGATTGGGTTGCAAGGGCTAGGGCTGGAGGGCTCTGGGGTGAAGCTGGTCATGAGGAGCTTCAGGAGTGGGGCTCCAGATTTGGGAAGGAGCTGAAGGCTGGTGTGCAGGAAGGGATATAGGCTCTGGGATGGGGATATGGGCTTTGGGTTGGCTCTGGGGATGAGGGCTTGAGGTGCAGGAGTGTGCTCAGGGCTGGGGGAGCGGGTAGGGCAGCGGGATGGGACTTGGGCTTACCTGGGTAGCTTTCTGATGGGGTCAGCAGAGAGAGGCTTCCTTCCACCGGCTGTAGCAGCATCATGCTGAGGCCAATGGGAAGGTGCTCCTTCACACTGTCCCTGGGAGCTTCAGGGCTTGGGGAGAGAGATTTGTCTTCACTGCAGCTCTGAGGCCCTGGCCAAGGCTTAATATTTCCTGCATACGGCTTAATGGGAAGCTGCAAAGCTACACACCTTAGGCGGAACTTTAACCTAATCAAAGTAATTTAGAAGACTAGAGACATATCTACTCTCTAGCTCTTACGGCTGAGTTTTTTAATGTAGTAAATTTCAACACAACTCTAAATTGAGTAGCACAGTAACTTTTCAGAACATAGAAAACTAGCAGGGCATGTAGAATGAACTGTAGGAAATGTTTGTACTATTTTAAAACATTTCATTAAAAAGCTCTTGTCCCAAATGCATATTAATACAATCCTACCTCTTCCCCACCATTTGAGACCAGTATAGATTAGGTACACTCACGATTTAAAAAAACTTTCTGCATTTAATTTTTACTGTGAAGTTTCATGGTGATTTTCCCTTGCAGGGGTCTCTAACTGGGGAGGTTATGCTGTTGCTTGTGCACTGTATATTCTCAACACCTGTGAAATACATGATCGCTATCTGAGGAAAGCCATAGGGTTCTCCAGATTGTCGGAGAAGGCAAACTGGGCATCAGCACTGCCGTCCATTACTAAGGTATTCTCTGTTGATAGAATTGGTTATGGGATATTAAAGCATTGAACTATTGGTCACTGGTTCAAAACCACTACTATCACATGGCTATTTAATGGGCTACAGGAAATGAGTTTGGCTTTCAGTCCAATTTCTACTGGACAAGAGTACATACCACAAGCAGCATTCTCAGAGAATGGTCCATTGAATACATGGACAACATAACCTTCTTCTTATTCTTATAGATATGCCATTGTTGCCAGCTTGATATGCCTGTCACTCTTGAGCTGAGGGCTGGATACTCTATGGCCTCACAGTTGAGCTCAACAGGTTGGATCTTCCCCAGGGTCCCAGCTATCCGGGCAACATAGCTAGGTAGCTAGGGTCAGTAGCACCACTCTCTTTCTTAGGACAGCATAGCCTAGAGGCCAGAGTCAAAAAACGAAGCCCATCTCTTCCTCAGGGCAGTGTTGCTTAGCAGCCAGAGTCAATAGCCAAGCTATGTTTTCACAGAGCAGTGCAGTCTAGCAGCCAGAGTCAACAGCAAAAGTTGCTGGGCCAAGTTGGTGGTGGGGTTGCCTATTGCTGTCTCAGTGGGCAACCCCTGAAACATGCCAAGCTGTTCCAGTATGTCTACCATTCCCCACAAAATGCCCTTGAGTAACTTCCTATCTGATTCTCCATGTCTCTGGGGTCGGTCTCTCTCCCCTCTTGGCAGCGTTCTGTGCTGATATGGAATCATCTTGGCATGCAGTTGGTCTTCCTGAGATGGTCTCCATGCAGGTGGTCTTCCTTGCCCTGTCACCACCATCAAGAATGGGACTAAGGCAAATCAATGGGAGGGCGTGAAAAATCTTGTATATTTCAGGTGTCTGTATTGCACCTTTCCTTGGATAAATATGCTTTCACTGTCAGTGGCTGCCAGAGTCCTTTCACCAGCATGAAAGTCATTTTAAAACAGTTAAAAAATATATTATACTTGGGCCCTCTGAATACATCTGCTGCTTGATTTCTATGAGTATTTTGGACAGAATCAGTAATACAAAGAATTTGAAGGGTCAGTATAAGCAATTCTAGGGTATTATAAACTCCTTTTCCCCAGAGCAATTCAAATACATTTGAGAGAGACCAGGGAGATTGTAACCACTTTTTGAAAACTACAAATATGTGATGTTATTCCAAAGCTGCAGTATGGCAAAAATAAACAATCTCTCCTCTTGTTGACCTAGCAAAGAATACAAGTTGTGGTCAGACGATCCTTTATCTCTGATCAGAATGTCACCATACTACCATAAAGAGAATCTCTTAAAACCCTCTGTAGATGCTCAAATACCATGTGTCTTGGGATGGTCACATGTTACATAAATATCATCTCCAGACACACCCAACTGCCAGAAAATGTGAAACACATGCTAAGATGATTAATATTAAAACAGGGGCAAAAATACCCATCCCCAGAACACAGAAGTATCTAAGGGAGCAGCATTATTTCAGAAATAACAAAATGTGTGTCTACACAGCAAGCCATTATTTCAAAATAATGTTGAGCTGAAGGAATTTTTACTCTGACTCCTGTAACCCCCATTTCACTAGGAGTAAGGGAAATTGAAGGAAGAGTGTTCTTCCTTCAACTTCCTGCTGTATACAGGCAGTCCCCGAGTTACGCAGATCTGACTTATGTCGGATCCGCAGTTACGAATGGGGCTTTTCTCGCCCCAGAGGATGGGAGCGGCGGGACGCCCAGATACGCCGCGGTCCCGCCACCCGCGTCCTCGGGGCGAGAAAAGCTGCTCTGCGTCTCCCTGGTCTGCTGGGGGGGACTCCCCCCCAGCAGACCAGGGAGACGCAGAGCAAAGCCGCGAAGGATGCAGGACACGGGCGGCGGGCACGGGGCGAGTCAGGAGGGCCCG